CTGGGTGCATTCCTGGTTAAGTAAAGTATAAAGTATGACTCCTCCACACCAGGAAAGTAAGAAATCTCCACATACACGGATGGGCGGTCTCCACCGTCACACTGCTGAGTGAAGAGCAACTCCGAGAACAGCATGGAGCGAGCACCGCCTTTTCTGCAAAAGTGGAGAAGGAGTTCGTGCACATATTTGCTTGAACATGCAGAAAATACCTCAGGAGGGGAATGCAAGAGACGGGTGATATTGGCGGCCATAGGGAGTGAGGCTAGACCCAGGCACAGCCAGAGGGACCTTGCCTGGGAGCCTTTTGCAGCTTTTGGCATTTGAGCCGTGTGAATAGTCTGTCTGTTCACAAAACCAAAACAATTATTTTGAGAAAGAAAGAAAAGAAGGAAGAGGCGTAGACAGCTTGAAGGAGCACATCTCCCCAGCTGGGCCAGGACTGGGCGAACCTGGGAGTGTAAAGAGGGGGCAGTGCCCATCCGGGCTGGCGGCCAGCCCTGTTGCCCTGCCAGCCCCGCCACCCAGCTGCTGGGTCGCCCAGTCCCCTCCCTTCCAAACACTGCTCTGGCAGGAGCCTCGTAGGAGGCCCACAGGAGCCAGCTTCCCTGGAATTTCTCCTCCCCCTTGGCTGCTGGCAGGGGCGGCTCTTTTTCTTGGCAAGGCACCATCTGTGAAAAATGTGGCGGCCATGGGGCTGCATCTGCAGACAAGGGCTTGGACATGGTTCGCATCAGGAAAAACCTCCCTTCACCTCCGCACTGCAAATCCTCTCTCCCTGTGCAGCCAGTCTGGGCACTGAGAGGCAGTAAAAGGAACAGACTCCGGGAAAAGCATTAAGGGCTCCCTGGCAAATCCTTATGGGAGGGGGGCAGTGGCAGGGGTGGGTGGGCTGCGCACTCAAAAGGCAGTGCCTGCCAGGTGCAGGTCAGGGGTGCATGTGCGTGGGTCGGGGCGAGGGGTGTGGGCGTGCTGTGTGCCTGCAACTTTGGGTGCATGTGCCTGTGTGGAGCAGGCCCAGTGCCTGGTGGTCCTGCAGGCGGCAGCTTCTGAGGCTCCATGCGTCCTAGGCCAGGAAGGGTCCAAGGCAGCCGTGCATCTATCTGTGGATGGCAGCCGTGCATCTATCTGTGGATCGCAGCCCCTGCTTGCCCTCTAGCTGGGTCTCTAGAAAACTCTGTTAGTCTTTTAACTTTAGTTGCTTTATCTGTAACACGGGGTTGTGGTGAGGAATGGGTGAAAACGCCAAGAAGAGGCAGTGAGTCCGCAGCAGCAGTGGTACCGGGGCGGTGGGCTACAGACAGGGAGTCTCGCCCTTCTTTTTCGGCTTTGATTCTGGACCCGGGATGAAGGGTCCAGAGTCCAGCTGACATGCTCTAGATTTGCCCAGGCCGGCTGTGGACGACCACCTATGTGTGCTGAATCCACAGAAGGCCCATCCTGGGAGAGAGCCCACCCAGCACAGCAGCCCCAGGACTGTGCTCCTCACCTGGCCCCGAGGACAGCACACCAACAGGCACCCTCGTTGCACTCCTTCCTCCCACCTGTTCCCACAGAGCAGCCAGAGAGGCCTGTGTAAGAGGAAAAAAACTGGACAGGGCAGGACAGGCTAGGAGAGGAGTCACTCCTCTGCTCCAGCCCGCTTGGGGCTTGCTCTTAGGCTTGAAGCAAAACCAAATCACCTACCCAGAAAGCCCCACAGGGTCTGAGCCCTGACCCCGCCCCTCCACCCCCTCCTGGTCACTGCACTCCAACACACTAGGTTGTGTGCGGATGCTGCCCCCCTTCCCCCGCCTGCACACCTTCACAGTTTGCTCTGTCCCTCCTCATCCTTCTTCCAGCTTCGCCCAAAACATCCCTCCACAGAGACTCCTCCCTGCCCCCTTGGTGGAAAAGCCTGGCTCTGCCCTCTCTGCCCGGATCCAACTTATCTTGTGTGGTTGAATGGAGGGTGCACTTGTGGACAAACAAAACGACAGGACTCACCAGTGAGGAGCTCGTGCTTTCACTGCTGCTATGGGACCCCTGCGGAGAAGGTGCCATGGGTTCTTACATTTTTGCTTCTTTTTTTCGAGATGGGGGTCTCACTATGTTGCCCAGGCTGAATGGCCTCAAGGGATCCTCTTGCCTCAGCCTCCCAAAGGGCTGGATGACAGGTGCGAGCAGCTATACCCAGCTCACCCTCAGCATAAGCAGACCCCACACCAGGCCACAGGCTCCCTGGGGAGCACACCTCAGGCAGCCCCATGCTACACGAGTGAGGAGGTTTAAACAGCCAACAGGATATTAGTATCTCTCTCACGCGGAAAGCAGATGGACGCAGGCGAGGTTGGCAGCGCCCTGGTCTTCCTGACACTCCTGGGACTGCCTTCTCAAGGAGGAGACCCCCACACAGAACACATCGTGCAGGCTGATTCCCACTCGGCCCAGGGCCTCCTGGTCTCATCAGAGGGGGCTGGGGCAGGAGGCCCACACAGCTGCCACTGTGTACCCATCTGGGCACCCATCCCACATGGCCTGTCCTCACTGTGGTCCTAGCAGAGCCTCATGACTCCCTCCCCCAATGCCCTGCCATTGCTCTGTGCTCTCCAGCCCTGGCAGGCCACTCAGCCTATCCTCTCTCAGTTCCAGGCCTCCTTCCAGGGGCTCCCTGCACCCCAGGACCCCCCAGGCTCCTGAGATACCCCTGCTAGACACTGCTCAGCCTCCTCCTCAGAAGATCCCCAGCCAGGCCAGGTCAGAGGCCCAAGCCACATCTCACACCCCCTGCCCAGTCACATAGCTCCTGCTATGAGCTGTCTAACACTTTTCCACCCCACCTCCTCCCCACCACCAGACCACCACTTCCTGCAGGAAGGACAGGATCACAGCTGTCTTGCTCAGCATTAAATCTCTGGCATCCAGAACATGCAGACACTCTGAAAAGTTTTGCTAAATGAGTGAATGAATGAATGAACAAGCCAGCTAAGACAGAACTTTAAGTCCCAGTTTGAATCCTGTCACTAGCTGTACCTGGTCCCACAGTAAACTGGGACAGGTCAGGCAGGAGGGACCCAGACAAGTGGGATGGGAGATCTAGAATCTTCTTCCAGAAGATCCAGGTTACTGTTGGAAAGACATCCCCTTACTGATAAGTTCAGACAAGCCTTAACATCTCTGGTCAGCACAGCAGGCCTGCCCAGCCAGTCCTGGACACAAGAGTCCAAGGGGCTTACTTTCCTCTGTATGCCCCCATAGGAATGTGGCTCCCGGGGCTGCACTCTTGCAGACCTAGGCAGGCTGCCACTCTGAGCCCGGTGTCCTCACCAGTAGCACTGGGGCTCTAGTCCTGTCCACCACCTGGGGCTATGCAGGGCTTGGCACACAGGAAGAGCCCTACCCTGTCCTGCTCAGGGGGCCACCCCTCTGGGCCACTGTGCCTTCCTACTCATCCTCCCAGTTGGGCGGAGATAGTTGCAGCTGGAGGGTGCTTGCCCTGGAAGTCAGGGCTCAATGAGCACCTTCCCAGGGCAGACGAGGAGCCCCGCGTGGCCTGTGCTGGATGCAGGGGCTGCCTCCAGCCTCGGTTTTGTGTAAGTTGTGAAAATAACAGCCTAATGTGGCCCTCTTGGGTTAAAAATGGTACTCACTGACTGAGATATACCTTCTAAAAGGCCAGCATGTTTACATTTACCATTTTTTAATTTGCATTTTTCTAAAGTGGTTTTAGCTTAGTAAAACATGCTCACACATTACATCAATTCACACAGCTGGCTGGAGGCAAGAGTATGGCCCCCATCACGCCACTCCATTATGTACATGAGAATACTGAGGGATACACACCAATAACTTGGGCAATAGGCAAAGAAAAGAAACTGAAACTCTGTGACCACATGCCATAAGCACTTGTTATCTAGTCTACTTTTATCCTCTCAAGAACTGTTAGAAGTGTGATCAGGAACGATGGCCCACTTCACAGGTAAGGGAAGTGAGGCTCTGAGGGCAAGGTGTTCACCCAACTCACACAGCTGGAGAACGGAGCTATGGTGTGGTTTATCATCTCACGAAGCCTTTTCATCCTCTCTGGGCTGTGAAACACCACTGCTCCTTCAGTAGGGGAAGTTCGGGGCCAGTAAAAAGGACCTCCTTCTTCGAATGAGTAAAATGCAGTGACAGGAATGAAGAAGCCAGAGGGCAGCGACCTGCCTCCTGGCAGCTCATGCACAGGGACAGTCTAGAACTCTGTGGCCCGGAACCCCTAGGTGCTGGCACATACTCCGCCCTCTTCTTTGTCTGGCGGTGTCCCTACAGGAAGTCCCCTAACCATTCTAATATAAGTGATATAAGAATATCGGATTTTAGGAGGGCCAATTTATGGCTATGGTGGACATCCATGCTGCGCTCCAAATAACCTGGTTCTCCCTTCCAGGCATGTGGTAGGAACCCATGCCCCTGGCCTCTTACAGTGAAATGTGGTCATGTAATAATTTGGCCAGGGAGCAGAAGTGACTCCCAGGAGAAAGTCTTAAGAGCCTGTTCACAATAGTCCCATGGCCTCGTTTGTCACGCCATAAAGACAAAAGATGGAGACTGGGTTATGCCTAAGTCAGGAAGCTCAGCCCCCACTAACCCATGACGGCCATGTATAAAGGAGAAATGAGTTGCTTTCAGTTGCAGAGATTTGTGGCATATTTGTTACAGCAGCAAACTCCAGCCTAACCTAACTTACACAATTACATATTTCAAAACAGTATATGAGATAAATGCTTCATTATAGCATATATTTGTCTCATTCTTGTCATCTATAAAACACGGATATTATGTTGTGAGGATTAAATGGATAATACATGCAAATGAGTCTACATGTGTCTGACAGATAGTATGCTTCATCTATGTTAACTGTTTTTATTAAGTCATTCTTCTTGCTGTTCTTTCTTTTTTTTTTATTTATTTTTTATTTTTTTATTGAATGGTAACTGTGTACATTGATGCAGCTATTCTTTCTTAATCTTCTCTACCATAATTCTAAGTAGGCCCCAATTTCTAAGTAGGCCCAGCCCAGAGACGTGTAAAGGAAGGTGTTGGAACGTTCCCAATGGGACCAACAGGGTGGAGGGCAAAGGTGAGTCCAGATCTCCCCAGGGCAGTCAGTGCTGGAGGAGTTGCAGCCCCACAACGGGCTCTGTGTGACAGCTGCTGCCCCATCTGCCTTCTGTAAAACAAGTTCTATTATAAAAGTCATGCATATTCTCCATCAAAAAAGCATTAGAAAACATAGAAAAGTATAAAGAAAAACACAGCATCTATAATACGACGCTAAAGATAACCTCTTTTAATATTTTTGTACATATCCTTCTCATGCATTTTCCTTGCACCATTTTATTTTTCCACATATGACTTATGCTGCACATAGCTGTCAGGCAACCTACACTGACTTTCTTATTTTTTTTAACTAAAAATATGTCAAGAACATTTTCTCACTTCATTAAATATTTTTATACAACATAATTGTTATGCAGCTTAGTAAGGCACATGTAAATGTACAACTAAGCTACCAATTCCTAATTCAAAATTCAATCACAAAATTGCTGGTAATTTATTTATTATCTATTGAGACAGAGTCTCACTTTGTCACCCTTGGTAGAGTGCCATGGCATCACAGCTCACAGCAACCTCAAACTCTTGGGCTCAAGCGATTCTCTTGTCTCAGCCTCTCAAGTAGCTGGAACTACAGGTGCCCACTACAACACCTGGCTATTTTTAGAGACATAGGGTCTTGCTTTTACTCAGGCTGGTCTCGAACCCGTGAGCTCAGGCAATCCACCCACCTCAGCCTCCCAGAGTGCTAGGATGACAGGCACGAGCCACCAAGCCCAGCCTAATGCCTGGGAACTTACTACATGCCCTGCACTGAGCTGTCCAATGACAATGGTGAAAGGTCAGAGTAGTCCAGCTCCTAGGAGCTAACCTTTCATTGTCTCCTAGGTTCTTGTCCTTGATGGAGAATGAGGGCTATTTTAAATAGTGATGCAGAAGACATCATTAGAGCTACTCTTTGTCCAGCCTGCCAGACTTATGATCATGTGAAATAGTAGACAAAACATAAAAAATGCCCACTTAAATGCGTAGCTGAGTTCAAAAAGAGATAAGGGTAAATGTCAGGGGCCCCAAATGGAGAGAAACATGGCAACCAGTGGCCTTAGTGGGTGCTAGTATTTCAGATGCCCGGTGGAGGTCATTGGGAAGCAGGGTTTATACACCCAGGCCTTGGGTTTCTAGTTGTACTTGTCCAAGAGGAAGATGTCATGGGCCATACCAGGGTAGGAAGGTGACTGAGGTCCTTACAAAATGTGGCACACTCAGGAAGCTCCATATCTGAGAAAAGAGTAAATTGCACCCTAACAAGGAGGCTTGCCTCTTTAGCCTGCACTCTGAAGAAAGAGAAAAATGGTCCCTGAGAATGTGCAAACTCTAAATAATGTCCACATCATTTAAGCTTTGGGGGTTAGGGTTCAAATTCGTGGTGTAGCTACTACATAAACCAAGAAACTAACATGAGAAATATTCCTGGGCTGGTAATACCCCATGGACACCTGGAAGAAGTAAATGTCATCCTTCAGTGCAGGCACAAGAAAGTCCCATTGATAAAGCAGTACCACACAGGGCTCACTCATCAAAATGACAAAACAGGCTCGGCACCTGCGGCTCAAGTGGCTAGAGTGCCAGCCACATACACCGAAGGTGGGGTTCAAATCCAGCCCGGGA